ACACACAAAATACAGTCGTCTCATCATATCACAGTAAAAATCTTAACTCCAAGTCCAAAATCCAAAAATTTCTCTTCAACTGTGAAATCTAGAATACAAATTGTCTGCTTCCAAAGGTACAGTGGCAGAACAGGCACAAGCTAGACATTTCCATCACAAATGGGAGAAACTAGAGGAAAAGAAGGGATAACAGGCATCAAGCAAGTCAGCAAAACAGATTACATTAGCCCTCAGGGCTTTGAAAATAATCCTCTGTTCTCTGAGACAGTTTACACAATGGCCCTGCCCTCCAGACTCTAGGTATTGGCCACAGTCTCCAGATTCTGAGTGGAGGCCCCTCAGCCCTGGGCTTCAGCTCCACCTTCCGGGCCCACTAGGATGCTCCCTCAGCTTCAGGACACCATTCTCCTAGTCCATCGGAGGGACAACTCCACCCTTAGAAACACCAGAGGCCATGACGCCACCCTTTGAAACCCTTGAGGTCATGGCCATACCTTTTGAGACTGAGGCAGCTCGGCTTCTTGTGTTCCTTGTCTCTTCAGCTTCTGCTTCCTGTGGCCTCTTGGCCCTCAGGCCTTATGCCCACATCTGCCCTGCTGGGGAAAGTGTTCCAAAACACATTCTGAGGGGGACACAATTCAGTCCATAACAGATGGTGTCAAAACAAGTGTTGCCTTACCGAAGGCACCTGATAGCAATGACCACACAGGAAATGGCTACACATTTCTCACAGTCCTGCTGATGGATGGGAAAAAAGAAGCCAAACAAATATTCCAAATAGAAACCCTTCAGAAAATGTGGCCTGGCTCTGTTTTAGAAAGAGCTGGTGAAAGGTGAAGGAGCACTGGTGGTGCAACCAGTTAAGCACTCAGCTGTTAACTGAAAGGTTAGGGATTTGAACCCACCCAGTGGCTCCATGAGAGAAAGACCTGGTGATCCGCTTCTGTAAAGATTATAGCCAAGAAAACCCTATGGGCAGTTCAACTCTGTCACATGGGGTCACTATGAGTCAAAAACTACTCGATGGCACCGAACAACAACAGTAAAAGGTGCAGCTCCAAAACCTGAGTCTGTGGTCTTGACTCTCCCACTCCTGGAAGAGGATGCATAGGCCCAGCTCACTATTATTTACTCCCCATTGCTAACTGCCACATTGTCTTTTGATTTTTTCCTCCCTGTTCCAGTCTCTACCAAAAGGTTTAAGATTAACCCATGTTCCTCCCTGGAGGGTGGAAAACAAGTGATAATGATCTAAGAATGAAAAACCAAACAAAGCATCCATCTTGTGACAAGAAAAAGCAGGATGTCACCAGATAATCCCCAAAGATGTCACCAGATAACCTTTAAGAATACCAGTAGAAGGTTAACTCGTCTAAGACATCACCACCTCAAGGGAAAACTACCACAAAAGATCCATAATCCTGTCCCTATAAAAGACTTCAGCCCATCTCCAGTGGGGGAGGCGGGTTTTTTGGAGGAATCTATTTCCCTCCCTCTCCTACACATCGATATATAATAAACATCTTGCTGCTCACCTCACCCATCTCAGAACTGGCTATTATGGCAGCTGGCTCCAATCCGTTTTATTGCAGTAACACTCCTACGCCCCCAGCAAGGACTTCCTTGGGTCTGAATTTGTGCTGCGAGTAAGATGTGCTCAGCTCTCCTTAAGGGATGGCCTGGAGGACCCAAGCTCTCACACCTGGAGCCTGAATCCACCAAAACCAAAATGACTGGCTAGTTTGGCCCATGAAGCCCAACAAGCAAAGCCAGTTGAGTAGAAATGTGATCAGCTATACTAGCTGTTTCTGAGACTGCCTGTCGATTCACTTACCAGGGTTGCACTGGCTGCAGTGTTGAGGACGAAGTACTCACCCTATGCACCATGGTCTACCTCCTGAAGCCACCCCTGCCACCAAGTGTTGGCCAATCCCAGGGCACCAAAGCCCTGCTCCCACTGAACTGCACCTTTGGTCCAGTTCTATTTATTTGGTGCATTTCAACTTTGGAATATGGTCATGGCAAGCTTAACAAATCAGAGTAGGATGGCAAATAGGTTTTATTTCAAGTGCCAATTCGCATGAATTAGTAGTAGCTTTCTGGAACACCAGAAAAGAATGACATGAGGCCATACTCAGTAGCCACTGCATCCATTATTTTTATTTTATTTAGTTTTACTGTTGTTGAGAATATACATAGCAGAACATATACAAATTCAATGATTTCTACATGTCCATTGATTACATTCTTCAAGTTGCACAACCATTCTCATCCTCCTTTTCCTAATTGTTCCTCCCCCATTATCATTGTGATCTGTTATTGATATCTCCCTGGGTATATTAAGGCAGTGGCAGCAGCTTCCATCTCTGGGTTAGAGTCATTGGCTGCAAGGGGAATGGGCACTGTGGATTTGAAGTGCTTCTGCCCAACAAGCAATTCACAATGTGATGGTTTAGTGATTTTCCAACCTATCCATATGCAGAGGCACTGTAAGTGAAGTTAACCTAACAACCTTCCTTCTTCAAGATACCTGCTCTTCCAAAAGATATGCTGTTGGGACCCCCAAAGAAAGCTGAGATGCACCCAGAAAAGCAAAGGTTGTCTGACAAATTCTGTACTTGCAAAAAATACCTGACAGGCCACAAACCACACAAAACTTCCCAGGGTCTGTGCTCATCCCCACAGCCACCCCTGCTGAGTACAGGAAAAGGAGCAGGAATATGGGGTGTCAGGGTCACAGCTGGACTAGCCTAAAGTTACAAGTGCTCCTTTTTAAAGATGAATCCAGTGTACAGCTAGATCTTGCTCTCATGCCCCAAGCCAAGGGTCTGCCCTGGTGACCTCCTGCTTGCCGTCTTCTTGGGGCTCCTCCATCTATCTGCTCCTCTTGTGGCTCTGGGCCAAGGCACTGCCCTCCTCCCCCATCACCTCCTGAGTGGCTCAGCTCAGTCCCGGTCATGTTGTCTACTCCCTCACAAAGGCGGGCAGTCTGGCCCCACCCTAAGGCACCATCTCACTTTTCAACTTGTACTTTTCTACACCTAAGTTTTAATTGAAAAGCTTTCTGGGTAAAAGAAGGCCCAATTTTTTCAAGGTGGTGTGAAAGGAAAAAGTGCTGGCTTTTGAAAAGCATTTGGAGGTGCCAAAGAATAACTACCTCAACCTATTTCCAGGCCACATGCAATCCCCTCCCCCGCCAATCTCCCCTAAGTGGTCTCAATAGCTCCATCGTGCACATTTACTGAACAGCCCAGCTCTCATTCTATCACTATAAAAATCAAAAAGGAAGAGGCTTTTCCTGTACCTCTCAACAAGGCTTTTGTGCCTGTAATTCCATCCATCTTAGCATTTCTCTAGCACTCATTACTGTCACACTGCAAGAACTCTGAAAAGGAACTTCCAAAGATGGAAGGAAGGTGCTTAAGCCACAAGAGTTTCAGAATAAAGGATCGAGCTGTTCTGAAGACATTTAATTGTCTGTGAGGGCTGAAATGTGACTTGAGTGATTCAATTAGCATTTTCCAAGTAGCCACAGGATTATAGCTTTTCTCTCTGAGGCAGAAGTAAGTGAGAGTCAGATGTGGTCTCTGGGGGTTCCTGAGGGAAGCACCTTTGTTATGAGCCCCTTACTTCCATATACTCACTGACAGAAACCACAGGTTTATTCATTCAGCACACACACTGCGCTGCTAATGGTGGCAGGTGATGGGGACACTGCAGAAAGAGGTGGGGTTTCTTACAACTAGATACAAACCCTGTGGGGTTTCTCAAACTCTTTCACAGTAAGTAACCCTGTGAAGCACAGACCACAACCAACACACCTCCCCAGAGCCTGGGGCCATAGACTGACAAGGCCCAACAAAAGCTTCCCACAGCTTCAGAGTCTTGTGGTTATCTGTTAAAGCCCATGGGAACTGTGCTTCTATTCCATAATAGACTGTTTTAATGCAGAAATAATTTCCCCCTGGTTGCTCAGACAGCCACATCCCAGTTGGAGAGGCAGGACATGCAGTGTCTGGGGCCAGGCTCTGTAGGGGCCCAGGACCTGGCCACAGCCTTCTTTGGCCTGGGGCATGACAAATGGGATGACTGTGATGGGGTCTCTGTTTTCTCTTGCCCCTACCTCCTGAAGGCAGGAGGCAGACACTTGCCCTCAAGCAATATAGAGGGCCCTGTCAGACTCCAAAAAAGCCAAACCTGTTGCCATCAAGTAGGTTCTGACTCATAGCGACCCTATTGTATTTCAGAGTAGAATTGTGCTCCATAGGGTTTTCAATAAGTGTCATCTTTTGGAAGTAGATCACCAGGGCTTTCTTCCGAGTTCCCTCCGGGTGGATTCAAACCACTAACCTTTTGGTTAGTAGCCGAGTGCTTAACCTTTGCCCCACCCAGGGACTCTTTCAGGTACAGACAATCACTTCACAACCATTTCCCTCCCTGCCGCATCCACCAGCCACTCCTTGTCCCAGTGTTTGATGTGTGTGTGTAATTAGTTCTTTCCCTCCTTTCTGTCTGTGCTTGATTCATTTTAGTAAGGTAAAGAATGAGAGGGTATGACCAGCCTCCTGTCCCACCAGGCACTTGGTCAGCACCACAGAGAAGACTCCTCCTAAAGCTTGTTTTCTTGACTAATTAGCAGTTTGCTTTCAGAGCTTACCTTTCAAGCTGTAGGTATGATGGAGAAAATTTATCCTTTAAGAGAATTCTACCACTTAGTGAGGTCTTTTCTTTTAAACTAATGGGAATAAGGAAAACAGCAATGGCCCTGGTTCAAGGTACCACACGTTTCTGATTACCAAAGTCCAAGTTATTTTCCATGACTATATTTCTATGGCAATACTGAAAATATTATTTCTCATAATTATATTACAAATGATTTTCAGCCTATTAAAAACATCTGGTAAAAGTAAGCTAACATGTATTTTTATAACTTAAAATGCTCCTAGGTGTTCATTCTGTCTCAATGTGGGTAGGTAGACTCCTGTCAGTGGCCAGCCTACCTGTCAGGCAGATGCCCTTGGTGCTGTTGCACAGGTCTACCATCACTCGGACCTGCAGGGGAGAGAGGGGGGTTACCAGCAGCACAGTAGACAGTGGACCTGGAACTTCCCTTTTATTCAGACAAGCAGAGAGCAATGATAAAAATTCACAAAGTACTTTAGGAAAATATGGAGGGCAGGTGTCTGAGAAAAATTCGTTGCCATCAAGTCAATTCCAGCTTATACCAACCCTACAGGACAGAGTAGAACTGCCTCATAGGGTTTCTGAGGCTGTAATCTTTACAGAAGCAGACTGCCACATCTTTCTCTCGAAGAGCAGCTGCTGGGTTTGAACTGCCAAACTTTCGGGTTAGCAGCCGAACACTTAACCACTATGCAACCAGGGCTCCTTCTAAGAAAAATAGGTAACCTAAAACTGAAAAGAAACCCCTAAAAGAGCTAAAGATATTTGCTATCAGCAGCTCTTCTATCAACATAATCAATATAATCTCCTTGAAACTCTGGGAAGACAGGATGGTGAAGGAGCCAGCTCCCCAGTATCTGAAGGGCCCAATCTGTGGGCTCGAATAAAGGGGCGGTGGGCTTAGTAGTTAGGAGCAAGCACTTACTAGTTGGGTACTTAACCCCTTGACACTTTGGTTTCCTTCCCTGTAAACGTAAATTAAGTGCCTGCCTTGCAGTTAGAGCCAGCCCAGTGCCCGCTGTCTGGAAACTGCCCCACAGATGGTAGTGGTTCTCATGACATGAGGACACACTACCACTCATCCTTGGATGACTACCTGAGGAGGGTGGTCACTGCAGTGTGGTCTTAGCCTGACATCTGATCCTTCCACCCCTACTCTGCACCCTCCCACCCCCCTGCACAGCTGCTGATGAGCTTTGAAAAGCTCAAATCTAATTGTGTCAACCTGATTCACTCTTTTGTGACTCATTATTGCTCCAAAGACAGTAAAATTCCTCCTTCTCTGGCTCATCTTGCACCACTCCCTCCTCTCTTTCTGTCCTCTAGCCACACTCTGCCTCAGTTTGTACACCTGTAAAATGGGGATAGCAATAGTACTTCTTAGGATTATTGTGAGATTACTATATGCGAAGAGAATTAGAGCAGTGCCTGGCACGTAGGAAGCACACATAAAAGTGTTTTCCACTCTGTTGATAGGAACATGAATTCTGAAACCAAACTACCTGGCCTCAAATCATAGCTTTGCCACTTACTAGCTGTGTGACCTTGGGGAAGTTACTTAACTTCTCTGTGCTTCAGTGTCTTTTTCTATAAATGTAGCTAATAGTACCTACCTTATAGCATAGTTGTGAGGATTACATAAGCTAATACATGAAGCACACTAAGAACAGAGCCAGTCACATGATAATTACACTTGATTTTATGCTGTTGTCTTCATGGTTCCTTGAAGGGGCTAGGCTACTAACTGCCTGCACTGTTACTTTGGTCTGGAATGATGTACAGACAGTCCCTGACTTACAGTGGGGTTCCATTCTGATGACTCCATCAGCAGTCAGTTCTGATTAAGTCGAGTATCTCTCTCTCTTTTTTAAAGTTTTCATTATTATTGCCTTTTATTATCAGTATCTTTTTTTTTTTTTTTTTTAAATATTTTATTGTACTTCAGGTGAAGGCTTACAGAACAGATAGTTTTTCATGTAACAGTAACACACATGCTGTTTTATGACATTGGTTAACA